CTGTGACTCCAGCTCTGTCCCCCCCACCACCACCATGGGCAGAGCAGCGAAGCAGCCCCTGCAGAGTGTGAATGCACAGCTTTCTCCTGGCCCGCTTTGGGCATGGAAGGGACCAGAGGATGAGCCATTAGGTTAGGGTTCTTGTCACAACTCTAAGGTTTTCATCACAAGGTGCTTGGAGCTGAGTGCTGACAAATGTGGGCCACAGCAAGGACCCTTGGCACTATCAGCATAACATTTTAATGTGACCCTGCATACTTTTTACAACCCCAGCATGATGCTGTCTTCCTGCTCCCCCACAGGGCTTCCTTGCTGTTCTGCGCATCCACGTGGCAAAGATTTAAAAATGGAAATGTCTGCATTGCAAATGCATTTGTGTTTTGGCACCGTAATGGCTCACCACGTCTTACAATTTTCATTTCAAATGATTAGAATAGCTTGTGCAAAAGTGTAAACTAACTTCAACTGCGATGTTACTTATTTCCCACCCGCTTGAAAACCGTGGATTCAAATGTCTCAGCGTAGGAGGGCAGCGTGCAGGGCAGGGGAACGGTGAAGGGGAGCAGTGGAAGCCAGAGGCTTCCTGGGCCCAGATAAAGCTCCCTCCCAACTCATCACAGAGGAAACACAATGACCCGTAAGCATATTTGCCATTACATGTATTTATTTTTCACCTTTTGGTTATTTACAAACCTTTATTTCAATGTTTCTCAGAAGCATAATTTTATGTTTCTTCATGTCATCCTTTATTGAAGTCAGAGCTGGTCAAGGTCTTTTTCATGCAAAGATTCACATTGGATAAGGACAAAGAGGGTACCAGGTCTTTTGGGAGGGGTCTCTGTTGCTCTGCCTTCTTGCGGGTCACGTGGGTCTTGGTCACTCTTCTTGGTTGTCACTGCCCGGGCCCAGCATCACTCTAGACCTGGGTCTGTGCATTTGTGCTTTGACTGCATATTTCATCTGCCTCCAGAATGGCTCTGCCTCGGCTGCCTTCTGAAGAATTCCCTGACACCGCCTACGGCCACTGCACTCCACCTGGGCACCTTCACTTCTGCTGATGACTACTGACCCCGGGGACACAATCTGGCAAGACGGTGGGTGCAAAGGCTCATACATGTTGAGTCAACAGAGATGACCCTGACCAACTGGGGTTATTTCAAAATCGGAGTATATGAGGGAAACACCAACACCCCCCACCCTGAAAACCCAACACCCATAATAGAGATTGAATACTGATCACAGGACACTATACGACACGGCACTTTGTAGGGAAGTCACAATTTCCTTTGATGCTCAGCCCCGCGGTAGGGTACCATGCAGATGGATAGCTTAGCAAATGCATTCATTAGTTAATAGCTCAGAGGGTTAGCTCTTATGCACACAACAAGAAATGGTCACGGTCTCAGCAAAACAGAGCTCTAAATATGCAAAGACTCCGCAGCCTTGCTATTAACAAGATGGCATGGATTGTAACAATACATTTGACAAAGCTCTGGTAAGACCCAGCAGATCGTCTGTTATCTCTGCAAAGGCACCCCACAGTGGCAGATGAAACGGGCCAGAACTTGGTAGGAAACGTGTCACACATCCCCACAAGAAATCGACACTTTGGAGAGACAGATGTCTTTCTCATGGCGATGAGAGGGGATTCGAGGGCGAGAGGTAATGATCGCCCATGTGGGAAAAGAAAGGAAAAGTGGGTAGAGGGGTAACGTGGGGGTTGCTCCATCCCCAACTCGACAAGACCCTTCCCTCTGCCCAAGCTCCAGTTTATCCATCACCACAAGCACTCCCTGGCTGGGGCCGAGAAAGGCTCCATGGGCGGACCCCAAGAAGCGCCCCGCTAGATGCTCTGTACTTCCAGAGTTACTTGATGTGAAGTGAGGAGTGGGAGGGGTCGTAGGCAGCCAGTTGGAGGAGGGTGTGCCTGCACGGCTGACAGACAGCTGAGGATGGGGCTCGACGACGATGCTGATGATGGAACACACATGGAACACGACAAGGGGAGATCTGGCAATCTTCCGACTGGAACGATCGAGTCCATGACAAACTCAGAAGGTTCGAGTTTCCGGAAGGCTCCTTGCCAAACCTCCACCTCACCTTGACACTCAACCTCACACAGTTTGAGTTGCAGTAGGTCTACCGCCCTCATTGCAGCAGAATAGGGCAATTATACCTTTTTCAGGTATGTTATAAGTCTAGTTATGCGGATCTATAAAGCTATTTACAATTGGCCTCTTCGCCCTTGCCCTGTTCTCTAAAGTCTCCCTGTGCATTGCTGCCAGAAAACATCTTAAAAGCCCTTTGTCGTCCCCACCGCTCCGGTCTCTCTATATCACACCTCACTCCAAATGAACATTTCCCTCCCACAGGGCTCACAGGCTCTCGAGGCTCCTGGAAGCCCAAATCCAAACCAACCAATCAACATTTAAGGCTTTCTGTAACCATGATGGGAGCTTCAGATGTGGGGTCATGGCTCTCTTCCGAACCTGGGTCTCTGTGAGGAATGTCCAAAAACATAAGAGGCACTCTTAGACATTCCGGTGGCAACGTGCTTATTTTATTCTGTCTTACAAGATTTGTGTGTGTGTGTGTGTGCGTGCGCGTGAACACGAGTATAAACGCACGTGACGTGTCAGTATGTGTGTGCATATCTGTGTGTGTATGTCTATATACTACTGAGGGGGAGTGCCCCGCGTGTGCGTCCATGTGCGTGTGACTGTGTAGGTATCTGTGGGTGTGCGTATGCAGGAGGCTGTGTATAGATGCTGTGTATATAGTGAAGAATAGGAGAGATGACAAGCTGGGCTGATCTACGCAGTCAGTCCCTGGGGCTCTTCTCCCTCTCACCCCACTGACCGTCTC